CGAAGGGAAGAGGAATCCTTAGTAAAAAAAAAGGAATCAATAGATGAAATCATTGTAAAAGTAGATAGAATGTGACGTTTGAGAGCAAGCAATTCCAGCAATTGCAATAGAGTTTTATTCATTGATGGGAAAGCATTCGGAAAAATGCACTGACAATAATGCTTTACAATTCTTTTTTCAATTTTCCCATCAATCAAATTGATGGAAAGAGTTGAGCAACTGCTACATACTACTTATTCACTCATTTCAGTATATATGGGATTTAATGGCACTTCAGTTAACGTTAAAATGCAAGCAAGTTAGCGATGAATGCTTTCCTTCTTTCTTCCTGGGTTGTGTACATATTGAAATCTATTTATTTTTTCAAGTTGAATAACAGTATTGAGTGAAATAAGAAAAAAGAAATGTCTTAAGATCGTTGCAAAACTACTTGATGGTTTAGGTTTTCCTTTTCAATATCCACTTATTCTCGTTCTTATGTTCTCTGTTTCTCTGTACAAAACTTTAGTTCTGCAATATGCATTAACTTATTTTCATTTCAATTCAATCACAATTGCTCTTATCGTTATTCCTAGGTGAATTTAATAACAAATGTTTTAGAAATTTTTCGAGAACATTGAAACATACATTTATAGAGAGAATTGAATAAGAGGAAAGATCAATTTTTTATTTCCATTCTCATTTGGTCATAAATCAAACAAACGTATGGATAAAATGAAAGTATGGAGAAGTTTGGAGAATTTAATTTAAAAAATCGACATAAAACATTTTAATATTTTGGTTTGGGGCCGTTCACTTATTACGTTCGCATTTAGGAGGGGGGGGGGTTAGAAAATTTGTAACAAACTGTAACAAGGGGGGGGGGGGGGTGTCAAGAAGTATGTAACGTTCCAACTGTCGTCTGTCTTTTAAAAAAAAGTTCACGAAAATTCACACCAAAAACATTTTTTTAAATGTTCCACCTTTTTAATGATAAAATAAATTATGAACGTTCAGGGGGGGGGGGGGGGGTGGTGAGTTGTAACATATTGTAACAAGGGGGGAGGGGGGGGTGAAACAAGTCGTTTTTTTGCGTAACGTAATAAGTGAACGACCCCTTTTACAATTCACATTGGTCTACAAAAATTGATCGTAAATACAATACTTCTAAATTGAAAAAGCTTGTTTGTTTTTGATGGATGACCAAATTTAATAAAATATGTTGATCGATTAAATTTATTAAGACATTGAAAGAGAGATGGTTTGTTTTTCAAGGAAAAAAAACCTTGTAATGGTCCAGCATGAAGGGTTGACTATTGAAACGTGACTGGAGACTGTCTTCACGGTGAAAAACAGACCTTTACATGTCAATCAATTAATCTCAAAAAAGATTTTGCAGGAACTCCTTGAGGAACTATGCATTTCAAGTTATAATAGTTATGTTTATTATTCTTGTGTTTCAAATCATTATTTAAATCAAAATAATCACACAAGCAACTTTCAGAACTTCTTTAAGAAACCAATATTCACATACACGTATGCGTCCCTTCATAAGATGCTGACTAGAATTGAAATTAACATATTTTGTGTTCACTTAAAAGGATTACTAAGCAGAGACACAATGAGGATCTCTTGTGCAGCAGACGTTTTCACTTATGCTGAATATTGTATAAGAATAGAAGTAAGGTAAATGTAAAGATCACGTTTTGTGTTATTTAAATAGCAACATCAAGTGCATTTTTCTCATATTTTGCATATTTTTATTCGCATTATATACACAAGATAGAAAAATGAATATGCATTAAACATATGAAAGAAATATAAGTTAAATAAATTTACGACTGTCTTAGCTGACAGATTCCTCAACATATACGTTTTTTGCATCTGCAATAGATATAATATATGCAGGTAATTTTATCGTAACGTAAGGAAAGAAGATGTAAAATTTTGCAAAATAAAAAATTTTACTGTCATTTCTGTGACTTTGTTTTAAAAAAAAGAGTGAGAAAGAGCTTCATGCTGACATATCAAATATCTCGAATAAGCTTTTAATATCTCATCGTGTGATTTACCTTTATATTTCAAAGTTTTATTTATTCATCATCATGACAACGTTGTTGATGACGATGATCGAGGGAAAATATGAGAACCTTAAAGTGCTTAAAGGCATCGCTATCACAATTTAAAATATATAATAAATTTTTTCTACTTCCATTAATGCCTTTTTAGTCTATGATGAAGCAGAGAAGTGTGAGAGTGGAAAAAAAAAGCATATGAAATATGAACGGCCTTTAGGGCATTTTTGGGGCCTCACTTATCGCTCAACTTGATAGCACTATCATTTCTCTCGCATCACACTATACTGTATATAATAAATTTAAGTCAAAATGAATGAAAAACCATTTATAATAAAAAGGGAGCATTAATAATTTTTTTTTCTTCTTCACTCTCTCGTTGTTGTCATGATCTATCTTTTCCCATCTCCATTTACGTTTCTTTCTTGGTAGAAATAATGTCAGGCATTCTTGTCAGTTTAGTTGAATGAAGACACAAAAACGAAAAACTTTTTTTTTTCAACGTCTGAATAAAAAACACGTTAAATCTTCTCATTTTCTCCTTTTTGACTTCTCTACATGTCTATTGATTGCATATTTGTGTGCTAGTGTGTGTCTTTCTATTCAATATATATGATTCTATCATTTATTGCAGCATAGCAAAATGATAAAACCCTTTCTTCTAAAAGAAATTGAAGAATGAGTCTGAAAGTTCTTTTAAATTTTTTATTATATTTTTTCTCAAAAGCGCATTTTACTGTCCGAATTTCAGAATCACTTGATGCTGATTTTATGTTTGTGATCTTTTAAGTAAAACAGTTTTTAAGTTCTAGCATTTTTGTTTTTACACGAGTAAAGTCTCGAAAATTTATTTAAATTGAGACGTTCATCAATGCACAGTTAAAATGCTCGTGCATTCCAAAAATGATGCTAAAAATCGTAATTTTAGATAAGATTATGTGTTGATCTTTAGATATTTAACTCGACTATTCATGCGGGCAGAAATTCCATCATCAGCTATGAAGCTTATCGCATGAATAAACATTACATGAAAGGGAAAATTTCTCTCACATCTATTTTTTATACACAATATACATGTGATGATGACGACGATGATGATATGAATGGCATTTTGAGAATGAAAAAAAAAATCATAGAGGAAGGTTAACTTCTATGGTAGAAAAAAAATGAGACTTTACATCTAAATGATTTGTAATAAATGAATGATTTCAGAGAGATGACTTTCTATCTTTATAAACAGAGTTTTTTCTACAAAGCATGAATGCGTAGCTAGTTTTCTAAAGAATTAGTTGTAAGAGCAATGCTTCAATTTGAATCTAATCGTCCTACTTTCATTCAGTCTATAAAAGACTACATTTACTTTAAATAGTAAATGCCCAACAGCTGAACTAAATTTTCAGAAGATTAATCATGTCCGATAAATTGTTTAGAAAGTAGATGTTGTCCAATGCGTTAATTATTGCAAGCTTTTGTTAACTTTTCAAGTGTAGGTTTTTAGGGTTCACATCTCAGTGGTGGTCTATTGACTTCTCTATTTATTTATATCAATAGCATGTATTACTTTATCAGATTAATGAAAACTAAGGATGATTTTCTATGATTTGGAACAAAATGTTTTCATAAATTAAAAAACTAGTAAGACCAACTTATAAAACTTTTACCCAAAAAGAGCTTATTGATAAAATAAATCAAATGCTGCTCAAAAAAAAAGCAAACAATATTTCATTTGTCTATTAAAAATATTTATCGAATAAACAATAAATTAATTATTGTAATTAAACCAAATACCAAAATTAAATAAATTGAAAAGTCATACACAATTTTACGATAAGGATTTGAGTTTACTATTACAAGCCCACAGGTACACATATCTAATCGCATTTCCATCATATTTAGTTGATCAAATTGACTGAGGAAATTCTATTTCTATTCTCCTTCCACTCATCTATAAATATGTCAATAATATTTGAAACTCAATTTGACATTTCAGATAAAAAAAAAAGAAATAAAATAGATAGAAAGAAGAAAATATATAAAAGTACACAAACATTTCATTCATAATTTCATTTTTATTCCCTTCGATACATTCAAAAAGAATATATGTGGAGTAGATGGAAAACAAGCAAATCGAAGGCAACAGCAAAGGCACAAAAGTTTGTGCTTGAATTATAGCAAATGCTTTCATATCATTAAATATTAATTTCAAAAAAAAAAACTTTTCCTAAATGAATGTTTTTCCTCATTCCACAAGCGCATTGGTTGTCTAAGCAGTGCTAATATCGATGAATTGAAAATGTTCACAAGGGACTTCAAACAAACCAAATAAAAAAAAGATTGTCGAAAATTATTGATAAATAATCAAAACGCGGCATTAACGAGTACCATGAGTATTGTGCAGACAGCACAGAAAACAGTTAAAAGGAATATAGCTCCCAGACATTCTAAACCAATCGATTAATAAAACAAATTATATCGATCACTCAAACTCATAATAATGAAACGTAATAAACATATAACACGATACGAATATTAATGTGGTCAATTATGTATTCAATGTTGGCATAAATCTCAACAACTCATGCATTACATAAAATCAGAAGCACGATAAATCATTTGATTGATGTGCATTTATGCATATTGCGCGAAACTATCATTTTTTCCTATCCAAGTGATTGATAAAATGTCGATGTGAATATGTGTTATATTACATATCTTTTCTGTTGCTACTCTTGTGTTGATTCTTTATCCTGACAGGAAAATGCAATATGCATTGGGAAATGAGGAATGAAATTGAGAAGAAAATACTTTGAGAGAAAATTGGGAAATGAGAGAGAATTTTTCCAAGATTTAAATTTCTCTCTTTTATGACTTTTTTTCTTCTTTTTGTGCAATAAGAACATCAAGTGAAAGTCGGTGGACAAAAAAATATTTCAGTATATCCTATCACTCGATAGTTAACAGAACGAGAAAACTTCGTTCTCGCGATTCGCAGCGTGAACATATAAAAAAAATATATAAAAATCAGCATAAAAACGCAAAGTTAGTCTTCTTTCTATCGAACATTTTCTGCACGTTAACGTTATTTAAATTATTTTTTTGTCGAAGACTTATAGCAAAGAAATTAATTTTAGTGGAATTTAATTATAATATAGCACAAATATGAATTCTATATTTCGACTTGGTATAATTTTACTTCTACTTGAGAAAGGTGAGGATGTTTTATGGATACAGTTAAACTATATTTTTTTATTTTATAAAAACCAAACCCTCGAACAAAACCAAATCGAGAGTGAAATTTTGTTTCCATAATAAATTGGGCAATAAGTGATAAATTTATGAAAATGCTTTGCTCTTCCTTTTTTTTTGTCGAAAGAAGCAACAACAAAATTCGAAACTTTTTTATAAAAAGAATAAAATTGTGGGGAAGAACAAAAATGAAAATTTATGTGACTATTCCATGTGAGAAGAAGCAATTTTTGTAGCATACACGCAAAGAGAAATTTAAGCTTCCATTTATTAATTCGAAGAAAAAGTAAAAACTGTAGGATAAATGTTTGCTTATTGAGAAATGTTACTCGAAAAATATTTATTGTGTCATTTTTCAATTACTTAAGTGAGTGCAGGAAGTGATATTTCATGGACTTGATATGTTTTAGTTCCTATAACTTTTTCAATTTTTTCATCAAAATCTGTCTTATGAAATCAATATTTGAGTGTTTTGTGATCTGATGTTTTGTGATTTTTTTGTAAATTATAAAAGTATAATTTATTGGTAAAAACGGTTAAAAACATGGAACTAAATGTTTCACTCCTTACCTTCTACTATTTTGAAATATGTAACAATCATTGTGAATATTGTCAAAAAACTTATCTTTAGACAAAAGCTCGGTCAGTCATAAATAAATAAATTTAAACTTTAGAACTCTCCAAAAAGCTGATCATAAGTAGACGTCTTCAAACTTAAACTTCTTGAGATAAACAAATTAATTTTTGAATACAAAATGAATAAAATAATAAGTAAAATCTTATTTTAGTCTTGAACATTTTTTTAAGAGTTGAGATCAAAAAAAAATCGATTTATGTATATAGGTGGATTTAATTTGAATTAAAGATATTGACAAAAATTGAAATCAAAAAAACATTAGTGATGTTGAAAATTGAGAATTTTTACACATTCAAAACTTATTCCATAAGTTATACGGAAAATTGGAACTATTTTTTTTTGAAATTTAAAATAATCGATTTGATAAAATAAATCTCTAAACTTCGATTGCATTTCTCAAAATATTCAATGTCTGTCAAAAATTTTTGTTTTGATATTTTATCTCTGAAGGATAATAAAACAAGACATATATTTATTTATTGGAGATGCTCGAAAAAATCACATAAAGCACATTATATTTTCTTAGAATTAAAAATTTTATTGCGAATAAAAACAATTTGTTATATTATTTTAAAATGACGATTTCATGTCTCTACCCCTCAATAAACATTTCATTGTCAATGAACCAAAAGACAACGTCTGTGACATAACTTTATTCCATAAAAACCTTTTGTCTAAGTTTTCAATTATGAATATCAACAGAACTAAAAATAGCTACAACAAAAAAAAATGTTTTGATATCATTTTGACGTAACGACGAAAAATTTATATAATCCATTACTTATCACAAGAAAGGTAGACAAGACAACATCAAAAAGGTGCTTTATTAAATTTTTAATGACTTGCTCTTGACAAAAGTCTGTTGTGCGATATTTCCTGAGCGACAATGGATGCTTTAAATTTATAATATTCAAAATTTAAAAGAGCACCACTAAGGCTTCTCAATTTTAATTCCTTTATTTCTACGCCCTATCGTTTTATTTTCTCATTTTTCTTTCTTTTTATTTTTTATGCTAAACTTATTTGAATTTCCAATGAAAAATATCTTTAACTCGTCTCGTTCGGCTTTTATTCTCACTTTACCGTCTTTATAAAATAAAATATATTTTATCAAGTGAAAAAAGTGTTGAAAAAGAAGAAGGAATCGAAAAACATTTTCGAATTAAAATTTCAAAGAAGGCTTAGCAGGTGAAATGAAAACAGAAAAGTGCCGTATTGGAGAGGCTTTTCACATTTTTTTTTCTATCAATCTCTCGTCCTCTTGTTTGAAATATATATATAAAGAATAAATGCGATACGTAAGTTGATGTTTTATTTTATTCAAATCCTTTCATTCGGAAAATTCAACATTATGTCTTCTTCTGTCTTCGTTTGTTTGTTTTGAGTCTTACAACATACATAATAGGATATCAGATAACAACTATAATCTGTTTTAATCCTTTTAAAAATACACATAAAGGCGTCGAGACACTGATTTTTATTTTTATTATAATAATGTACATATACCATAAATGTTGTACGTTCATGTGTGTATAATTGCAGAACATAAGGAGTTATGTGCATTGTAAAGCTTAACAAAAGGTCCTTAGTCATTACATATTTATGATATGTCGTTAGTACAACAAAGCATTATCCTCACAAAACACATGTACTTTACTTTTTCAAGTGTGCCTATATTATCCTGTACATTGTATACTATATATAAGTATTTCTCTTCTTATCATGTATGTATACTTACACTTGTTCTTTATTTCCTTTATTTATTTTATTTTGAATCTCATAAGTTGATGTTGAGCATGTTGAATATTTTACAAACTTACAATCAAAGTATGAAGGAAAAAGAATGTGACAAAGAAAAGTGTGTAAGGCTCATACCTTTTTTTCACAGTTGTGCATACATTTCCAAGTTTTTTATGAGAAAATAACGAAAAAATGTCTGCTTCCTGTGGTGCATAATGAAATGTTTGTGCATCACCTGCTTATGTATGTTAAAACTTATTATTTTAAATTTAAAGTAAATTATTTTGTAAAAAAAATTGTTTTAACAAAACTTTTGGAATCTTTCTTGTTGTGTCTTTTAAAATATGAAACTTAAAATTTCAAAAATGTATGCATAAAACTTTCTGATGTAAAATATTTTCACAAGACAAAATTTTACTTCTGGTTAACAAACTTTGACACTATTGAGGAGGCTCTTGAGAGCTGAAATAACTTCAACATAAATTAAGCTTAGTAATGATAAAGATTGTAAGATTTTTAGAAGCTTGAAAATTCTTTCAGAATGATCAATAATCAGCACCTTCTAAGCTTTTACGAATTCTCAGTCTCGGGTTTTTCAGAACAGAAATCAAAAACTTCAAACGATCGTTTTTAGAAGGTTTCAAGTTTTTTGAAAGAAAATTTTATTTTAAATTCTTTACGATTAGGATTTTCATTATTTAAACACAAAAAAAATTAAAAATCTTTCATTGGCACATAAAATATTCAAGTTTTAATTTTGGTCTCGGTTCCGGAAATTTCCCAGGCTTGAAAACTAGGCGGTATTTTAAAAAGGTGGTATTTTGTGGTATTTGAATGGAAGTTGGGGACATTTGGGGTTATACCGCCTAGTTTTCGAGCTTGGGAAATTTCGCAAAACCAAGAAATCGGCAAATCTTATCACCTTCATATTTTTAAATGTAATCACATTTATAAGCAATTTATTAAATTTAGCAATTGAGTTTAAATGAGTCTACCTTAAAATAAAAACAAAATAAGTGAATGACTCCTTCCTCCTCCATTTTTCGTTTGTTGAATTTCCACACGTCTGATATTTCACCAAGAGTGCGAAAAAAAACGAATTAAAATGAATTTGTTTTTTGCCATGAAAATGACAAAAATAGAATTATTTGGTACAAAAAACGTTGAAAGGCAAATATTTCAAAAAATGAAATGAGGAAAAATCCTCCTGTTGTCATAAATGCAAACGTTTTATTTTAGATGCCACAAATATGCCATTGAAAGTGATATGCAACAATATTCATGGCATGTATAAATGAAAAATGTGCATATACGTTAAGCACACATGAGGCTTCATCATGAGCCATTAATGTTCACAAAATCATAAAAATATTTATTTTCATAATGATATTTGGGTTAGTGGGAGTTTTTTTTTTGAAGTTTTGAAGCTTTCAATGCTTCCGTATTAAATGCGTATAAAATCCACAAAGCTTTTTTAAAATTCCTAATAAAATGTTGAAAATAATGAGCTCATACTTCTATGGAAACCTGAAAATTTGTTTTGAAATTATAAAATATACAAATTTAAAAGGAATTCAGCACAAACAATGAATTGTACCTAAAATTCCTTTAAGAAAAATTTATTTGGAATCCCACAAAAATTTTATATCAACACCCATAAAATGTTCATCCATTTCTTTATTTGAAACGCTTTCATCTTCTTCGTTTTGCATTTTTTATAGAAGCCACAAATAGTCTACGATTATCAAAATTGGTTGTACCATCAATAAAATATCGTGGAGAAAATGCACTACTAGAATGTCAATATGAATTAAATAATCGAAGCAGTAGCAAATTTAATTCCGGTTATGAGAATACAAATTCTCGTCATCATTATCGACGTAACAACTATTTGTATTATGATAATGAGGAGGATATGGATGAAACATTATATTCTGTAAAATGGTATAAGGATGAGGAAGAATTTTATCGTTTTGTTCCAAGGGCGAATACTCCACAGAATAGTTACAATTTCGATGGCATAAAAGTCGATGTAAGTTCCTCTTTGTAAAGAAGTAAAAATTTTATGAATTCTGAATAATAAAATTTAAATATTCTTTCATGTACAGCACAAGAGAAGCAATAGCCACAAAGTCTTTTTAAGAAATGTTTCACTAAAAAGTTCCGGTAAGTGAGTTTTCTTTCATTTGGCTTCTTATAATGAATTAATTTTTTATAAAAAAAAAACTTTTCCTTCTCATTTTCTTGCACACAGGTCTTTACAAATGCGAAGTGTCTCTTGAGGGACCGTCATTTTCAAGTGTACAAGGCGAAAGTTACATGCTTGTTGTTTGTAAGTTTAATTATGTCAGATCATGCTATGAGTAGCTCAAATATCCTCCTTTATTGCATAACATTAAAAGTTATGTAATGAAGGAATATGTTTATATCCTCTCTTAATTCCCCAAAATGTCATCGACAATAATTTTCATCTCATAAACAGATCTTCCAACTAATGGACCATTTATAAATGGCGAAGAGCAGACGTATCAATCGGGTGACAAATTGAATTTAAATTGCACATCAGCACGAAGTCATCCGGCTTCAAAGTTACAATTTTTTATCAATGATAATCCGGTATGTAGATTATCTTCCTCATTCACACTTTATTCCTGTCTCCTTGCCTCTCTTTCTCGTTATCTAATGGTATGGCAAATATTTTTCCATTATAATGAAAATTGATGAGCAAGAATTCTGCTATTTGTGGAACATTTCGAACAGTTGCTTACTATAATCATTACTGCTGAGTGAATGGATGAGGCAAATGATGAAAATGAAAAAGCAACAAACCACTTGTTTCCGTTCAATTTTTTTTTTCCTTTTTTTTTTCTTTCTTTCATATTTCCATTGTGTACAAAAGCAAAGAGACACAAAAAAAATATAAGAATTTTTTCTCTACTTTGTCGAAGCTTAAATTCGCATAATGCTAATGAATTGTCGTTTCTCCTTCCACCAAGAATTCTTTTTTCTGTATATTTTACGCATTTTTTACGGAAATTGATTCTGTATGTGACATCGGTTTGGCTCTTTACATCACAATTAAATGGTTTGTGTTAACTATGCTTAAAGGAATGAAGCTTATTGAAAAATAGATAAACTTATAGTTTATGTTTTTAAAAACAAGTTTGGTTAAAAACGCAGCCACAGGAACTGATTTGATTTGTATCCCATAAAGTTATCAGTTAACTTACAAAATTGCTAAATTTATACATCATTTAAAATTAAATTATATGCGGTTTCAGCCCTGGAGAATATATACACGAGAAAACAAAAATGCGCTATAAATAACTAATGTCCTTACTTTTCAATTTTCCCTTACAAAAAGAAGAATTTTTTGTGATATAAAAAATTTATCGACATTGACGTGAAAGCGAGAGTGAAAAAGGCGTTTTTGATATATTTTCCATCCCACCTCCAAATTTCTCGTTTTAATAATTTAGCAATTTGTTTTCATGGCACTGCTGACAAAAAATTAAAAAGCAATAATCAATCAATGCTGCCGCGATACGACAAGCGGTGACAAGTTAGAAGAAAATGTTTTTTTTTTGTTGTGGTGCGAGGACTTTTTGATGTTTGGAAAATTCAATTGACGGAACAACCGATTTTTCATCTTTGATGATTTTAATAGATTGAAGCTTCTTCAATAATTCAAATGAATCCTGAATTAATTATGTCTTATTAACAAATATTAAATATTCTGTCACAGATTCTTATTCTCTGTCTGATCAATTATAGTCATTAAAGATTTACCAAAGTTTTGAAAAGTTGATTTTAAAAATTAGGTTAGAGTGCTTGCTAGCATTTACTGATCAATAAAATTAAAGTCAATATTTTTCATGCTGTAAAAATATTCAGTGAGCTGAATAGACTCGGTTTTGAGCGGGAGGTCTGGCGAACCCATATAAATTGCAGCTATGGACCTTAAGATCTGAATGCTAAAGTTTAATTTTTTTAAATATTCAACATTTTTCTATTGATGCTCACCTTGTCTTAAATAAGATGCAAAGTATACGAGAGTTAATGCATTTAAATTTTGTTGAGTAATTAACGCTTCAAAAAGTTAAATTAATCCAAATTAATCTAAGATACTACAGTTAATACTAAAATCTTATTCGTTATAATTCATCGTTTCTTAATCTATTTTGACATGGTTTCAATGCAATAAGACATGACAAAATGTTGAACGTCTATGTTAAGTTCTAGCGTTGGAGAGGTAAGAGTAGGATGCTTCAGGTAGCCCTAGAAACCACCTATTAAATAACTGTTTTGAAGTACAGTTACCTTTCCCAATCGGCACACTTTGAAATTCATTGAAATTGCCACACAAGGTCGGGTTGACAGTTTAATTAGAACCAAGCGGCAACCATTTGGAGTCTATTTAGAAACGGCTCCTAATTGGCTGTAGCTTGGTTCTTATTATACTATTAACTTGACCCCCGTGTGGCAAACATTTCAATGTTCATATGCCTTAAATTCTCTATGAACCAAAAAACCATAGAAAAATAATAAAAAGCATATTGAATTCAACAACAAAATCCTTTTAGAGCTAAATTGAAAAAAGATGCACAACAAAATTACACTTTTTGATGGACAGGCTTTGAAAGAATTTTTATCAAACTCAACATTTAAATTTAAATAAATACCAGAAAAATACAAAAATATGGTCGAATTTCATGAAATGAGATTTTATAAATTACAGTTATTAAATTTTTTGATATCATCAAATGCGGTGTCTAACACGATCAATAAAAATCGCTCTTCTTATAATAAATGAAATGAAATTAAGCCGCGAGTTTTTTTTTTATTCATATTTAATTTTCTACCCACGCTATCCGAAATATTTGTGAAATTTTATATTATTTATATTTTTGCTAATGAAGCTTAAATAACAGCAGCTTTTTTGTTGAGGTGTATTTTGATGGAAATCGTTGTATTTGTTGATATTTTTCGTTAAGTCTTTAAAAGGTTCTTATTTGTAATTGTTAAGTACTGAAGTAAAGAATTCACTCATAAAGCTTCAGAATTATGCGCTAATATTGAAGTCTTTAAAGCATTAAATATTGATTTAAATCCCAATATATTTCAATTTCATAAGCTTCATTATTTCTCAATTGCCTTCACTCGTTTGGATCTACACATTCCCAAGAAGCATAACAATAACAAAAGGAAAAAAAAACATTCGTATTTCTTCGTCCTCGTGTTTCTTAACAATTGATTTTCTTTTCCTTTCTTTCCTGTTATTTTTATTTCTTGACATCATTTTTACAAGTGTCATCATCCTTAAAGCTTGATGGTTTGTTATTTTTCTTTCTAAATCGAATATTAGCTTTTCCTTTTCTTGCCTTAACCGTCCCATGATAATAATAATAAGTTGAGCTTCGAAAATTCCATGTTGTAGCAATTTAAGAGGAAAATATGAAAAAAAAATGTCTCTGTGGAGCTAACAAAAAATGGATAAGAAAAAGAAAGTAAGGGTAGCGAATGAATTATGAGGCAGGAAAAAAATAACTTCCAGTGGAATGGGAAATCTCAGCAGTGAGAATTCATCACACAATGAAGAAAAAGTGTGAGCAGGTGTCATATCGATTATCGAAATGAGCTTCCATACCTTTCTCTAATTGCCTCTCGCACGCTTATTGTGATTGTCATGTACGTATCGGTTTTATCCATTGAGACAGCTAAAGGCTGCAAAGTCGACAATTATTTGTCGATTTAATGCTTTTGATGATAATTTGGGTTGAGAGACAAATCGATACAAATTAGCAGTCACTTCATAATACGAACAGCAAAAAAGTTTTTCTATTTGAAATCGCATCATATCGCGTCACTCCGATCTATGTATCTCTTCTGTATGTTGCGTGAATACTGCTGTGCCTCTTTGGTCCTTTTTCTGTTGTTATTTTTTTCCCTTAGTGTCAATAGGGAGTACGAAAGAAAAGGAAGTAGAAACAACAAACAGAAGAGAAGAAAAATGCTATTGCCATTTGTGGATACTAAAATAGACAGCACAGAAAAAAAAGAGAGAAAGAGAAAAAAGTAAAGGAATCAGGAAAATCCCCAAAAAGTGCTGATGTATCTCATTTCAACACTTTATTTTTATCATTCTTTTCCTTTTTCTATTGCTACCGATGCTTCTGCTGTGTATGCCAACTCAACCGACCATATATTCGGATTTACCTAAAACCACAAACAAATATCACTCTCTTGACATCAACGTACGAACGTACGTACGAATGTCGTCAACGTACATGCTTGTGTATACATATAATATCTATACAAATATATTTTATGGGAACGCAGATAACAAATCCCAAATATATCATTCATTATCCTGATACACATCACAACCATGGCCTTATCAGCACTTCCATTGGTCTCAACATGCGAATATCACCGCAATATTTTGAGCAAAATACAATGAGTATTAAGTGTGTTGCGAGCATATCGCCCGTCATATGGAGTGGAAATAAGGAAACGATTATACAACAGCAAGGCTTGCAGCAATTTGAGATACCATTGCCTTCAATTGACACAAGAGAAGCGATGTTTTTAGGTAAGAAATTTATTTTTTTATATGTCAAATTAAGATAAAATAAATGGAATGTAATACGATGGCTATGAAAGAATTTATTGAGTTAGACAAGGGTAAATAATTAGAATCAATTTTCAAAATATTTCTCCCAAAGGTTTAAGAATTGAAATGTCTTAAATGAAGAGGAGGATATTGGATCTAAGAAATTTCATTTCAAAACTTTTCCAAAAACTTATATATACCTTTGAAACAAAATTCCTCATAAAATTCTCGAAATATCGTTATCATCGCTTTAACGACTTGTCGAACAATTTCTGTCATTAAAAGCTATTGAAGACATTATAAGTCAAGGTGCGTCTCATTATCGATTATTATCGTTTAGTTATAATTTAATAATCAATAAAAGAATGATTGATCATTAATTAATTATTCATTATTAAGTGCTGTTTGGATCGCTACAAGGATTCGAGACTAGAGCCATGAATAATTTATTAAATTTGTAATGAAAATAATTCGTGGAGGTTAATGAAGAAATTTTCATACGAACGCTAATTTAGACATTTTGTGGGGAATATGAATGGAAATCATTCTCGCTTTTGTAACTGGTTTCTATTGAAATTTTTGAAGCATTAACATGAGTTTGGGCCAATTAGATTATTTCTGTTTGTGAGAGTATAAATTTGATTTCAATTCGAGATAGTTTTCTTAGTGATGCTGACAATATGACTGACTAAATTCTCAGAAATTGGACTTGCATTCCAAATGAACAGAAACTTGAAAAGCCATTTCAATAAAATAAATAAATTCAACGAAAATGCGATGTTAAAAGGATAAGTTTCAAGTCATTTAAAAAGTTTACAAACGAAAGTTTTAATCAAAGTCTAGATGATCCTTTGCAATGAGTCAGCATTTAAAAACAAAATCAAAAGGAATGACTGGAAAAATCAAGAAGATTTCTCCGAAATATTCGGGTAGAAATCAAGCTTAAATCCCCTTGTAATTTAATCACAAATTATCGAGACCCCTTAAATCCTTCGACTTCTAAAAGAATTCCACAAAGCCTTTGCAGAAACAGCAATGAGATAAAGATTCCTTTTTTTGCTGAAATCGACATTATTATAAATATATACCTAAACATTTTATTTCACTTCTCCATTTTCTTCCCTCTTTTTTTACAGTGAAATCTAGCGCAATTACAATCAAGTCAATGATACAACTTGTCATCACATTTCTCTTCCTTCTAAAGTTTACTTATCGATGAGACATGGCTTCATTTTCAACATCAATAAATATCATGAAACTGTAAATATTTTTCTGTTGTTTTCTTGTTTTTCATTATTTATCTTAACAAAATAGCTTGAATAATCATAGACATTCTTTAAGAGTGCTGCTGAAAGTGTGATTTGTACGTTAAAATATTTGACCGAGAAAAAAAAATAAAAAATAGAATGGATGAAATAAAAAATGTAAAGAAATGTTGACGTTTTGTAACAAAAATGTGTTTTGCAAATGCCTTTTTTTCTTATCCTTTTCATTCTATTTTCTCACAATAATCATCATCATCATCATCATCATTGCGTCATGCCCAAAATAAAACATGTATATACGCACAGCATCGAGAATTTTGTAGGCAACCCTTTTCACAACCTCTCATAAATTTACTTTCTTTAAATCTTTCACACAGTTTCAAGCTCAAGAAGAAGAAAAAAAGAGGAAAAAGAATAAAATAAAGGAGGAGAAGAAAGTCGAGGCCTCCTTTTGTGAGATATGAGAGACATGACATTAGTAAGTAGAAGTAGTTGTTGGGAAAGGGTAACAAGTAAGCTTTAGCAGCTTCTTTCTCTATACCAGTCGAGTGAGTAAGGAAAAAGGTTATCAAGATTGGCACAAGAGAAAAGGAAAGGAACTTCAAAAAATTCTATACGAGAGCAAACAGCGCGCTTCATAGTGTGTAATTGTAATGGATGATACAATGTTCATTGATTCTCCTTCTCATTCTTGATGTAATCTTTCACTGTTGATCTCAACGACCCCAGGATCTTATGGTATATACTTCTCTATATATGTTCATCTTAGATAGTATAATGCTGTTATTATTACTATTATTACTGCTGCCAATTCCAAAATGGAAGAAGAAATTGAAAATAATCAATCAGTCGTTAGTGATGTAGTGCTGTAGAAATAGAAAACATAAACATCTATAACATTTCAATGAACTAGTCCCTTTTATTCTTTTATATCCATTTCTATCCGTCTGCCAGACTATTCAGATTCAGTTTTATACTTTTTTAATGGCTTCTCAATTGACACTTATTGCGTTCTACCAATTTAATGATTCCAATTTTTCAATTCGTTTCTCATCTTAAAAAAAATTCTGTATTGATTTACAATTTTTTAAGTTCAATACTTTCGAACGCTTTAAAAGTTACATTTTCAATATAAGATAAAGAAAGGGAAAGAGAACAAGCAGTAAGGTAAATATGAGAAACTTTTTCAGCTGTTGCTGATTCTGTTATGAAAAATGTATATAATACGCAAAGCAAACGGATGTATATCAACCAATACTTTCTGTTGAACATACAGATTGTGTGCAAAGTATTAGTAAACAAAATAAAGTTGAGCATATGAGAAGAAAAGAAAATCATTCTTGAACCGATAATAATTACATCCATTACGGCGTTTGAGCTTTTCATCTAAACCTGCTTTTATTCTTATTCATTAGCTGCGAAAAGTAGGCAAAAATAAACAAAACATGTTGAAAACACTTTGTTTGTTTTCTCATCAGCTCTACGTTTAGCAAAAGAGAATTTGTTCAATTCAATTATTTTTGAGGCTTCTATAACAAAAGGATTAAATAACTACATCTTTCATTTCCATTTATACCACAACTATGTGAATGAATAAATATGAGTCAAATTATATTGTTTGTTTAATAGTTTGAAATAATTTGGGATTAAAAATTAAATTTTTCAAAGCAGACTTTAAATTAGAGGCGTTATCACAAGAATGGATGTCTTATAAATCAGAAGCGTAGCAAGAGTTGCATTGGTTGATAAAATCATCATGAGCGCTCCTTGTTTGGAATTTGACAACATTTTGCATGGCATTACTACATACATGCTCTTGTAAGTTATAATAATCTCAAAAATTTTATAAGAAATCCAAATTCAATAAGTTTATTTAAATTTAGACCCAAAGAATTTGAATCCTTTACTAATGGAGGAATGAGCAATTATTTAATTATGCTTACTTTATAATAAACAAAATAATTTAAATGTAAAACAGCAGCAATGCTAATATATTGAAAGTTTTAATTTAAAACAAATCAATTCAATGATAAAACAAAAATAATAAAAAAAAATATATTTTTGGATTTTTAAACAATCGTGCCAAAAGAATTAAATTAAAGGAGGAGATGGATTAAAACAATTTGTGATAGCTCTTACAAAAAAAAATTTAAGATACACATTTTATCACAAGGTAGTTTTTTTGCGTGACGTAATTTTTTCAACGACCCCTAAGCTGTTTTCTGCTTTCGAAAGCTCCGGTCGCTTTTTTGATTAAGCCGCTTTTAAAATTTTGGATGACATTATTGAAAAATTACAAAAAAAACTCAAAATTTTAACCTTAATTTTTTAAAATTTCTTGAGAAACTTTCAAAATGGAAAACTGTGGAAAACAAGTTTCACACCCACAAAGCAAGCAAAATTTTATTCAAGTGAATAAAGTATAAAATATTTAAATCAAATATCTTGAAAAACACTTTTTCCATTAAATTTAATTCAATTTATTGAAATCTATCTCCCAGCAACAAAGGTGGAAGCATTAATTTCAATTCCTCATCATTTTCAACAGCAAAAGCGAAAAAAAAATCTACAATTTAAATTATAATTTCATTAAATTTTTTTTATGCAATTTATTTTAAAAATCTTAATCAAAGCGGAAGCATTCAACATCAAACATTCATCCGACGAGCTGAAGAGGAATGAGTGAAGAGGAAGATTTGCAATTTCAATAGTTTCATTCATTTGCTTTTCAAAAGAAATCTTCCCATCTTATATTTTTTCTATTTTCCTCTTCCTTTTATGATGATGATTATTATTATTATTATGATGCGATTACCACCAACAAAAAAATGCATGAGAGCAAAAAAAAGAAAATCCTCCTTTTCAGAGATCATAAATTTATTTTATGCGAACGAGCGATTTATTTACATTTCAAAAGGGAAAATAATGCAGGAAAAAGTAAAATAATTCAGTCTTTGAGTTCACAAATAAATAAAAAAAAAATTCAACATGCTTTAAATGTCAAAAGAAGTAAAAAAGCTCATCGTTGAAAGCTGAAAAGGTTCTGAAAGTTAAATGGACCGAATGATTCACATACATCACAAGATAAAAATTTAAAGGAGAAAGGAAAAGTATTTCATTTTATGATCAACGATGATGATTGTGGTGTGAAATTTAAGCGGAAGGAAGTTATTTTTGACATAAATGAATTTGCTTTTTTGTAGAATTGACGAATATTTAATGCAAATATTGTTTTTGAGTCCAATTGCTCTTAAATAAATTTAATTCATTGGATACTTTAGAATTAAGTTCTAGGGATTGCAAAAATTAATCATTAGTCAAAGCTTTATTAAGAACTTGACTGCTGCATTTAATTTTTGTATAATAATTTTTGCACTTTATAAATTTTCAAATTTACTTGTAACTATGCAACATATGGAAAAAGAGATTATTTGATCTTAAATATTTAATCCATCAATCAGACATATTTCAACATAACAAAAATCAAGCCTTATTTTCATAAAATAATTCAAATCAATCATATCGATAAATTTACAAATGAAAGAATCTAACGAATGTAACTCAAAATCAAATATTGTCGATAGAAAAGAAAATTGTTTCTGGCAATAAAAATTGAATTATATTTTTCTTCGTTCCTCCCAATTTATTCATTTCATGAAGCACTTATGTCTAAATATATCTTAAATTTATCTATACTTCAATCATCATAAGACTCATCATTTCCTTTACACACATTTGAAAGTAAAATCGAACATGAAATGATAAAAAAATGCTTTAAAGAAATATTGAGTTTCGTTCTGCTTCATATGAACATAAAAATATAAATTTTCAGTGTATGTTCTGCCTAACTTCTTGAAAATAAAATTTGCTATAATATATTACATTCGATGTTCTGTGAAGCATAGAAGTTCGTTTTACCAGCAAAACGAGAGAAAAAGTTAAGTACCGAAAATCTGTTTTAATTGAACATAAGTAAGTAGTAAGAAGAGATGGGAAGAAAAAGATTAAAGACTTGCTCATTACTTTCTCTCCTTTTGCCAAAAGGAAAATGAACGAAAGTTTCCTTTACATTGATTTTTTCCCATTTCTTCGTTCATCCAAACGCAGAGAAATAAAAATTTTGCCAAGAACATAAAAAACTTTTCCTTTCCCATTCATTTTTTGTTCCTTCTTCTTTTTGTTTCTTCTTCGATTCACTCCAGAAGAAGTCTGAACACGAACAGAAATGTACAATATCTTGCAGATGAAAGTATTGTGCAATATAATAAGTGATGTGAATTTTCTCCCTTTTTTTACTTCCATCACATCTTACAAGTTGATGTATGAAATGGAAATAAAATAAATGGGAGCTATGGGTTGCATGTTGAAGAATGTTTTTCTGGCAACTTTTGATGTTGAATGATTAGCTATACTTTATTGTATTTAAGAAACTCTAATGAATAAATGAATGAATACATGTGGACTCTCATCTCATCTAGAAATATAAAGTCATTGGAAAAATTGAATAACTCCTGTAATGAATAGATGAAGTTTGATTGAGTTCATTTTTGTATAAATAAAGCTATTTTATTTATAGAATTTCAATCACATATTCGGCAGAAACATCATTATGGTAAAATTAAAAAGCTTAACTACCGATTCCACAAACGCACGCATGCTAATAATGAAGCTGAAATAAGTTAATTTCCTTTAACAATAGTCAATAGTATTAAAGTTAAATAGATTTCTTTCGAAATTATAAAACGAAATAAGGATTTGATTAAAGACTTTAATGTTGTCAATTTTATGCTTCATTTAATATTGACAACATAAGCGATATTTAAAATTGAAATGTTCTCATCTTCTTTAATAGAAACACCCAATTCCCTTACTGACTCTAGGCATTTGATGTTGGTGAGTCCGTTGTGGGTCAGAGGGGTTGTGAAGTTTTGTAAAGACATTTGAAGTTTTGTGGCATGGTTGACCCTAGCTGTCAAGACACTGGCTTTACGCGTCTTACATTTTTTCAAAATCAGTAATGAATTTTAAATTCTGACAACGGGCACCTCCAAATAACCTAGTTGCTTAATTTAAAGCAAAGTTTTTAATTTAATTTCTGGTTTATTTAAATGTAAAATTTCCATGTAAGTTTTTGATTGGTTGTTAAGTCATTCGTTGTCATCGATTATGTTCTTTAAGAAACATGAATAAATGAAAGATTTCCAAGTTTATTTACCATTTTAAACTACCTCTTGTTTGCAGAAGGAGATTTATTCTTCACAAAATTTAAATTCAACTAATTTAAATTGGTCGAAATTGCGATTTGTTGTTTTATTAACACGAACAATGCCAAAAAGGGTATTATGTGCAACTTATTTTGGAAAAGTGAAATTTAATAAAAATCAAATTTATTTTAATGCTTTAATATTCAAAAAAAATCAAGTAGCGAGCATATTGAAGATGAAAAAAAAATTCCAAACTTTTCCAATTAAAAATTGTATCAGTTGAACACAATCAAATTTTACAACCAATCGAAATACTTTTTAAAATAAAATTGCTTCCGTTTTTGCTTGCGAGAAAACTTCAATTTTTCTCACGTACTTATGATGACGATAATCGTCATCATTCTTAAATCGCTCATTGACAATAAAGAAAAGAACGCGATGTGAGCAATAATAGAACACTAAAGGAACAAGTAGCGAGAAAAATTCATTCATAGAAATTCTTTTTGATGTGTGCACAAAAAGAGAGCATTGAGATTTGAATAAGTATGCCTCTTGCATGTGACACAATAATAGTATTGAATGAAAGAGCACTTACGACGTGATAACATTTTGACTCTGACTTTAAACGTTTATTGTTACAGAGATTGTTATATATACATAGTTCGAGTATTAAGTGGAGTTTTAGATTACAAAAATGAGCATCAGTTAAGCTTGAGTATTTTGATAGGAAGCACCAGTTTTGTATCGTTTGTAAAAATATTAAGGAAATTGTTAGTGAATCATCCAAATAAAATGTTTATTTGCCGCTTAATAATATTGTCTATAATATACGCTGTCACAATTTCCGCATCTGAGAATGAAGGAGCAAAACAATTACTTCCAGTTCGAGTTTATTATGAGTCATTGTGCTACGACAGTTTGAGATTTTTCAGAAATCAATTAAAGCCACTTTGGACAAAAAGGAAGGACTTTATAGACTTAAAACTCATTCCATTTGGTAAAGCGTCGGTAAGAGGATATGAAAAATATTTAAATTCTCCTAATCGAATTTTTATGCAAATTAATTGTTTTCCTTGAAAAATCTAATACAGAACCCTCAAAATATTCTATAACTATAAGTTTTACTAAATTGTAATACATAAATTTTCGAAATCCAAATTTTCAGTATCATTGGAATAAAGAATCATCACAATGGAGGTTCAGCTGCCAACACGGTAAATTCATTTATATTCAGAAATACAATAAATTAAGGTCGTATGCAAATTTACATCCGCACATATTTCATCAAATTTCACTTAATTTCCTATCTTTCTCGTCCTCGGAAAAATATTTTAAGGTCAACGTGAGTGTCAACTCAACAAGCTGCATGCGTGCATTTTAGAACACTTTTCATTTGACAATGCTTTCACCATCATCTCGTGTCTGATGTCCTCATTCCGGTCAAATGTTCATGACGTAAGTGTTGGTCATTAAATGAACAGAGTGTATTCAATTGCTGACATTCAAATTCATTTTTTTGCGCTTTCCATCATGAAAAGTGCACGCCCGAAGGTTTTGATATATCATCAACACTGAGCTGCTATAATGGTACGAATGCTGCTGAAGGAGCTCAGTTGTTAAAAGCATATGGAGAAGTAACAAACACAATTGACTTGAGCTTTGTACCGAGCATAGAAATTAATAATGTGAGTTTCTGTCTGTTTCTATGTTTTGATGGGCATTTTTTTGCATATTTTGAATTGGATTTTATTTCGTTATGTGAGAAACAATTTATTTTTTTTCAGCATTTCTCATATGATGACAATTGGGTACTGCTGGAAAATTTAGACGATCAGATATGTAAGCGATATAAACGAAAATTTAGTTCCTCTTTAGACAATTGTAATTAAAGAATGTGGAAAAATGTGAATAGTTTTGTCATAATTTATAGATCAATTTACTTCCTACTACCTCTTTTCTTCTTCCACCAGTGCATATAAATAAATTCTTCCGTAGTTAATAAACTTTATTGTTTTCGGAAGAATTCAATATTTGAAAAGAATTCCACCAACATTGAAATAAATTTTTTTTTATTCCGAATTCTCAATTGCTATTTTTTTCATTGAACTGCAATTGCAAGATGAAGAGAAAAGAAAAACATTTTCATAGCTCTTCGTTTTTATTGCACTTCCTTTTTTTTTATAAATCGAGAGCGTTTTCAATATGCTACTGAAGAAGATGTAAAAAACTGTATCAGACTGTATATATTACAGAACAGACATTCATATTCATTTGGTAGTGTGTAAAATGCGCGATGTGAAATCCAAAATTCTCATTCATGTTTTACCAAATAAACATATTTATTTCCTATGACTTTGCTGCTCTTACTGTTGTTGCTTCTTTCATTTTTTCCCGACTGGCAGATGCAGAAAAAATTGTTATTTATGATTATTTGGAAATAAACTCAGTTCCCATTTAGAACAAGATTTAGTTCTTTTTTTGCTTTTCAGACTGTTTGCTGCTTTGAAATCTTGAAATTTTGTGTGCCACACAAATCTTATGGCGAGTATATTCAAGAGAATTATTTGTGTCCAATGTTAAAATTCTTAGTAATTTACCAAACATAAAGGACTTCATTTAGTATGTTTTAAAACTTATGAAGTTAAATAAATAAGCTAGCTGGACTTGTCACAGAATAAAGTAAATAATTTAAAAAAATTAAAAAGTTTAGGAAAAATAGTAATTATAAATATTATGTCGATTAAAGTCCATGCAGCAAAATTTAATTACTAATATTTTAAAAAATAATTCTTTACAGAAATGATGAATCATTGTAGAATTCTAAGCTAATTAGAAGAATTTGTTTTGTCTCCTTAATTTCTCGTATGTTTGCTAATACATACAACAGCAATAAATCATCTTATATTTACGAAGTTTCCATTTTGAAAATTGTTAAACTTATCTAAATCCAAACATTGGAACCACCGACTTCATTGTTCTGTATTGTTGAGGTAAGATAATGCAAATGTTTAAAAGCATGTATGTATATGTAATACTGATGCTTTTTGTACTGCACATGTTGAACATATCAATTTTAAAAAGGAAGAATATTCGAAAGATTTCACACAAAATGACTTTTGCATTTAATATATTGAGAATATAAATCCAGTAATATTAAACTGACTATACATAATAACAACAATGTAAAAGATAATCAATTTCAATGGAGCTCTATCGTGCCATGTTACGTCGCAAAAGCATAGCATAACCATTAAAAATTGACTTGACTTGATTTTATAGGGGAAAATGCGTGCAATAATTGGAAATCAATATTGTTAAAATGAAAAGGTGAATTATGCTAGAATATAATTTCTCAAAATAAAGAGTATATTAAGATTAAACAACAGAAAATGGAATCAAGGAGACCTAAACTATCTAGCTTTTTTTTTTAATTTATTTTGCATGACGATTTATTAGGGCGATATGTATAAAATTATAAAGGCAATCGTGTTGAAAGAAACATAATGTCAATAGTGATATCTAGTTAATTCAAGAGGCAAACAAAATTTTGAGAATTTTTTAAATCAAGGGTGTGGTACTGATGAAATGATCAAAAATTATCAAAAATGATCGAAATGTAATTCTTTCATTTTACACCCTTGTTTTAAATTCACATTTAATTTTTCACCAATTTATTTTTTCCTAATAATGTTGCCTTCCCCGTGAGTTAATATCTAATATTTATAATTGAACTCCAACAGACAAATGACTATACTCATGGTGCCGTAACATACTCAAAAGTATGTTCTAAACTTGGTCGTGAGTATGTTTCGGTACCATGAGTATACTCAATTGTCTGTTAGGAAAACTTTTCTATCTTCAATGTGATCGAAAAGATTATATAAAGTTAAAAGTCTCTCAATTTGACTGCTACACACCTCGTATAAAATTATCCAAAAAGATCTAGTCTATAAGTTTTTTGTTAAGGAACTTATTCCAAATCTAATAAAACAGTGAAACTAGGATTATTTTGCAGGTTGGTTCAAACTCATCTTTATAAAATTCTGTTCTATTAATATGAAATCTTCGGCTCCCAAATAACAAACCATAAATAACAAGTATATTAGGATGAGAACTATTATCAGTGCTGCATTATTAACCATTAAAAATTATTAAACAGTCATGTGAATCGTGTGAACCATAATGTGTGTGTCGTGAAATATAATAATTCGATTAATTTATTTTCCTGCATGCAAAATTAAAATGCAAAAAATTAATTCTTCTTTCATGATGTGATTTTAATTTTCATCAACGAGACGGATAATGAATGATTTTTTGTCATGAAGAATCATTATGTTGAATAAATTGGAAATTTTCATTTTACGCATTTTAAATTTCACATAATAATTAACTGACGTGTTAAATACTATCTGAATTTCATCATCATATCCTCTTTATCTGTATTGAAATAATACAATAATTCCTCTTGAGTAGTGCCTACTTTTAATTTTTGTATTTTCAACAATTAAATTATGTTGTTGGGAGAGGATTTTAAATTTAAGTTTTATTAAATTAATCAATTAAAAATGTGTGGATTATCGGCTATGAAAATTGGCACAGTTTTGAAATTTTTTAAAGCAACTGTACTTTATGCTAAGGTATAATTTTTAAATATTTATAAATCCAATTTGGGTCGAAGATAAATATTAAAGTCCTCTTTTAAGTTTTATAAATCGCTTCCTTCAGTTTTTAAAATGAAGCAAAATTATTCATAAAAAAGAAACAATTTTTTTTTCAAACTTTCACGATTTTCAATTATGCTTACTGTTTTTCACTCTAGCTCCACTGCACAGATAGATGAATGAATGTTTTGCTTGTGGATCATGAAACTTTATCTTCATCATAATCATCATCCTGATTCATAATCAGAGCTTGTTGTTTTAGCTTATATAGAAAAGATAAGAAGAAATTTATTATGATGGAAACTCTTTAAATTTGAATTTGGTAAAAATTACAACAAAAAAAATTCAATACTGTTAATTGCTCAGAACTAGGCTTTCCCGATTTCCCGGTTTTGCAAATTTTCTGGGCCAGGACAAAAATTAAAACTGAAATGATAATCATCTATTATTGTTGGTTTGCTACCGTTCCAAGATAAAACTTAATAAGTTTCTTAACGACGATTTATAACAATATATGAATATATAACAATCTATTAATGAAATCATATTGATTAATATAAAAACCCTGATTTACCCTGCAATGTACCAAGTCACAAGTACCTATCCTTGTATACCTAGCAAAGAAGGCACATGCTGTGCCAAAGACATCAATGCTACAACCAACACACGAACCAAGCTTCGTAACTAGAACGATAAAACGGAAAAAGAGGTTCGAAAATTAAATATGACCTGGCAATAACCCTAGAACCTTTGTCACGGAATGCCAACGTTCTACCATTTAGGCCAACGATTAAAATATTTACTAAATTTATTAGACAGTTCTTATTATTTTACTATTTTTTCAAATTTCAACCCATTAAGTAGTGCTGTATACCGATGCATCTTCCTTATTTATATCCAGTAATCCTTTTCGAAGTCATTCTTTATAAATTTTGCAAACAAAGTGATGACTCTAAAAGCCGGAAAAAAAATTGGGAAGGACGGTGGTGCATTTTCTCTTTTTTAATGAACAAAAATGAATATAAGAGAATTTTAAAAAAATTACCTTCATTTTCAAAAAAAACACATCTGAAGATAATTCTTCATTAATGATTGTAGTATAAAGTTGTCTTGCTTTTTCATGTTCCGTCTTCAATGAACACAATTCTCGTTGTATGCTGTTCTTCTTGCATTTTTATTTCCATATGATCTTCATCCGTTGTTGTTGATGCTTGTTAATTTGCAACCGTTTCAAGATAAAACTTAATTATAAATATCTAAACGACGATTTATAACAATGTAGGCACAACTTATTAGTGAAATCATATTAATTAAAATATTTTCAAAATGTATTAGACAATTTCTCTTACCCTAATTTTGATAAATTGTGAACCCATAAATGAATACCAATACATCTTGCTTCTTTATAACTAGCAAACCTTTTTGACGTTACTCTCAATGAATTTCGCGTTGCTTCTCACGTTCCTTCTCTCCTGTACGATTATGATTGCTATTTAAAATAAAGAGATAAAAAGTATTAAAAACATCAGATCATATATGCAAAATGTTAGGACTCTTAGTACAAAAAAAAAATGGGCAGGACAGTGGGGCATTTTTTTCTTTAATACTCATTCAAGATTTTCAAAGTGACGAAAAAAATTTTGGGGCATTTTAAAATTTTAAAGTTAAGAATATACCAAATATAAAATAAAATAAAAAATGATTATAATATTTCGATCACACGATGACACACGATGACACACGAAGACACACGATGACACACAATTTCACACGATAACATAAGATTTAAAGCAGTTAAGTGCCTTGCTGGTGGGATGGGTAAGGCGCTTGGCTCAAATTTGGGATGTTAACTCGAAGATCGTCGGTTCGAATCCAGCCATTTCCAAATTTGGGCGATTCTCCAGCGGGGAAATCAGCCAAAAGTCACTTTCAAATTGATTTTTCTTTAAATTTTCCTTAAATCATTAGTTTTTTCAATTTTTTTAAGCGTTCCCGGCAACCAAAAATGGAATTCAATTACGAAGAATCAAAAAATTACTATCAAAGAATTATTTTTATTGCACTTAATACATACTAAATGGTAGATCGTCTTTAGTTTTATCATATTTAAATAACACATCTTTGATTTAATGCTTTAATTAAGAGAAAAATCGATTCTTCGAACAAAATTCAATGTTGCCGAGCAACGCAAACGCTTTATAGGGGAAAATCTGCTCAACGAAAAATTAAAAATTTGATAAAAACCGTTAGATTTTAAAACTTTCAGTAGTTTATTTGGCACAAAAATGTTAATGATCTAAACTATATCTTATAATAATCATTAAAATGCATATACATTAAATTTTCAACATACAATTGACCACAGAACCGGAAAAAATCGTTTGAAAC